TAAATAAATAAATAAAACATTAAAAATAAAAGAAAATCACAGTGTTCCAACTTAATAAATTGATGACCTATCACATGCAGGCTTAAACTAAATGTTGACTTTAACATTTATTTATTTTTGAGAGACAGAGTGAGACAGAGCACAAGCAGGGGAGGAGGGGCAGAGAGAGAAGGAGACACAGAATCCAAAGCAGGCTCCAGACTCTGAGCAAGTGTTCAGCACAGAGCCCGACACAGGGCTCGAACCCACGAACTGTGAGATCATGACCTGAGCCAAAGTCGGTCACCCAACCAACTGAGCCACACAGGCGCCCCTAAATGTTGACTTTAAAAGCGACACAGACACTGACTACTCTTAGAAATACAGTCTGGGACGCTCTTAAATTTTGATTATAGTAAAATCTTCACTAATCCACTTTAAAATAGTTAATAATAATAATAATAATAATACCCTCCTATTTAAATCTATTAATTTTGACATTAGTGTTCGCTTTAGTGCATGTTTTTTCTAACTCTAGCAAAACAAATAAAAAGCAACTTTTCTTTTAACCCTACTTTCTAATTTATCTGTGAATATAAATAACTTACAAAGTCACCACAGGGTTGTGGGGCATTACTCGGGGTCTCTGAATGGCTCCTCTCCTCCTTATCTCTGTTGCAAGAGATGTCCTGGAGCTCCATTACACTCTGCAGCGCTAAGGGCATGGCATCCTGGAACCCAAGAACAAAGTCACAAAATGGGCAAAGTTCTGAAGTTCAGGACATTTAAATGTACCACAAGTGTGCACTTCATCATTATAACCCTCCATTACCACCGAGGGATAAATAGAAAAAAAAGGAAGGAAAAATTTCATGAATGCTCTGTACAATGAATGAGACTACTTGTAACAATCTATTTTCTTACTTTCCCTCTGTCACTTCCTCATACTGCTCTGTATGACACCTTCTTTCTTTTTTCTTTTTTTTTTTTTTAACGTTTTATTTTTGAGACAGAGAGAGACACAGCATGAACGGGGGAGGGGCAGAGAGAGAGGGAGACACAGAATCGGAAGCAGGCTCCAGGCTCTGAGCCATCAGCCCAGAGCCCGACGCGGGGCTCGAACTGCTGACCGCAAGATCGTGACCTGAGCTGAAGTCGGACGCTTAACCGACTGAGCCACCCAGGCGCCCCTGACACCTTCTTTCTTAAGGGGACTCCATCTTAAGTTCCCTCATTGGCCATTATTCAGCATTCAGTTCTTACAGATCCCTTATTTTAGAAGTCACTTCTCTTTGATTTATGTCTTCAGCTTTTTTTTTTTTTTTTAATTTTTTTTTTCAACGTTTATTTATTTTTGGGACAGAGAGAGACAGAGCATGAACGGGGGAGGGACAGAGAGAGAGGGAGACACAGAATCGGAAACAGGCTCCAGGCTCTGAGCCGTCAGCCCAGAGCCTGATGCGGGGCTCGAACTCCCGGACCGCGACATCGTGACCTGGCTGAAGTCGGACGCTTAACCGACTGCGCCACCCAGGCGCCCCTGTCTTCAGCTTTCTTTAGAGAATGTAATGCTGTCTTTAAAAGAAGATGTTCATGTTTTGGTTGAATCAGCTAGTGGAAACAGAAGACTTTCCTGTAGATGTTCCCAAGATACATTTACTTCATGAAATGTATAAGAAGGACAGGTTCCCAGTGCTCTCTGGCTGTTATACTTAAGTTTTAGTTTTCTTTTCACATAAAGCAGAGCTTTAGGAAGAGATTAGCAAAACTGGTGGTAAAATCAGGCTTTGTGTCAGTTAATAAATGAGAAAAGATTGTGGCTTGTTGGTTACTTAACATAGAACCTGTCTCCAAATCATAATGCCTGTTAACATAATCCTCTGTTGGTATGATAATTTATCTAGCTTCCAAAAATAGATATCCAAGATAAAAACTGGGAAATGGGAAGGGGGTCATTTGTTAACTGAGTTACATATAATTCTACTAGCTGTCTATGTCTCAAAGTCATGACCATTATCAAGATGTTGAGGACACTATGTCTTCTTTATGAGATCAATTCTTTCTCTACTGAATATAATTATACTGCACTTCAATGGGTTTGGTTAAGTCAGTGATTCTCAACAAGGGCAGGAAAACCTCCTGAGGGACTGGAAATTTTGGGGGGGGGGTATTTTTGTCTTCTACTATGGTTGTGTGGGAGCATTTGCATATTGTAGTTCTTAGTATTTTGTTAGAGTTTATTTTCTTTTACATAAACCTACCTACCTTGGGTTGAATTACTGGTGAATTTCATTCAGAACTGTAAAGGGAGCATTATGAAACACTGGTTATAAAATAAATAGAGGTGCTCAGTTCATCCAGAGTTGTGTGATCACATGTCCTTTCTTAAGTTGGCTTCTCAGAAGGTTACAGCTAAATTTGAGACCCAGTTTCTGTGGTTTTTATATGGCCTTTATGTTATGTACTTTTCACTCTGTAACTTCTCTAATTTCATTTTATGCCCCCTCTTTGATTTACTTTTTTCTTTCAGTCCTACTTTTAAATTTGCAAATATGTGTTCTAGGTACTAGAAAGGGATGTGTTAGTATAATACAACAAATAAAGAAAATTTCTGCTAAATTCATTTTGCATTAATGAATTCATCTCAATTGTAAGGAAAGCATGCTGATGGCCCAGCACCACGTGGTCAAGCATCATGTGAGCACATGTTCCACAACATGGCGACTTCGACTGGGAGAAGAAATGGGGCAGGTAAGGGAACAAAGAGCAAAATCTAAATGTTTCTACTGGCTTCCCTCACCTGCAGTTGGCAGCCTCCCAAATCTGATACAATGAATTTTATCATATAAATTCGATCATATAAACAAATGAACATTCACATTTACTCTTTGTAATAACCATGGACATTAAGATCTTCTTATAGAAACTTCAAAAACAGTTGTCTCACCTACCTGTACGTGTTGAAGACAGAGCGAAATGTTCTTCACACAATGCCTCACCGTCTTTTCTAAAGATCTAAATAGCTTTTCTTCCCTATTAAAGGTATTGTCTTTTACCTAAAATAGAGATGAAATTATTGCTATAACTCAAACAAATCTGGTGTTTTGAAAAAATAGCATGGACTGTATTAGCCTAGCACATGATAAAAAAAAACCAAAAACTCCTTGTTGAGATGAAAACCGTTCATGTCATGCTGACCGTCTCAGCACGGCACTTGCTGTGTACCAGCACACAGCACGACTGATGTTCAATTAGTGGAGCAAAGTCACATGGTGAGGTTAATCTGCTCTCAGCTTTCACATAGCTTCTTCATCTATGCGATGGTAGCTGTAGGAGGTAAAACTTTTCTCTGCAGTTTTTAATGGCATATATTATGTATGTACTTAAATTATGCTACATTTGTGTGTTCATAAAATAATTAATGGACAAGGCATTTGGAGTTACCTATAAATAAGGGTAGAACCTGAGAAGAAACATGGGGGAAGGGAAGCGGGGGTGGGTGGATGAGGAGTGGGGGTGGTTAGGGTTAAAACCTTGTGAAACAAAGACTCTTGTCTATAGTCAAGGGCATTCACTTTCGAATGCCCCCTCTCTGTAAAGAGAGCTTTCATACTATTCTTATTTTCTCATACTCTAACAAACTTTTGCCTGCTGCTCATTTTATTCTGCCTCCACCTCTTTATTCTTCGAAGCGGCAAGACAGGGAATCCAGATATTAAGGTAAAAAAATCCCACAACAGTAGTAACCATAGCTGTTCTCTGTTCATAGGTTTGTTGATTTAAGATGGTTGACCTTAGAACTGAATGTATAGAAAATGGTTTCATTTTTGTTTTATTTTTAAACCCCTTAATATTATTTATCTAGAAAGCTTTTGATTAAATGGGCAGTTCTTTGTAATTCACAACATTCAGTACCCCCTAGCTTAGGATCTCTATGCTCTAACCCCATTTGATGTAAAGAACAATATGCCAGGGCAGATTATTTTAAATGCAATTTTCAAGGACCCATTGCCAGCTATTTTATTTTGTGTATCTTGGCTGGGATCCAGATGATTCAAAAATAAGAGATTCCAAGGATCACAGTATGAGAAATATTTCCCAGTTTTATGTTCCTATACCCAAGTCTTTTTCATGCTACTTTATTTTGCTGGAATATGCTGCTGTCCTTTTTTTGCCTTGCAGAATTCTGTTTAATTTTCTTAAGGACTCAACTGTCACCCCTTCTGTGAATCCCCCCTTGAATTCCTATTCTTTCCACTGTAGAAAATTAATTGCTCCCCCATGTGCTCTCACAGCTCTAGTTAATTATTTAAGTGATTCTCTCCACTGATGAATTACAAGCATTTGAGATTAAGTATTTTTTTCTTAATAATAATAATAATAATAATAATAGCTAACATTTATTAAACACCATATTCCAGACACTGTGCTTAAAACCTGTCTTCCATTTTTCTCATTTTAATTCTTATATAACTCAATGGCCTAGGTGCCACTATTAATCCCATTTTAGAGATAAAGAAATAGAAGCTTGAGAGGTGTGGCAGATATAGTTGATGTTCCCTGTCGTCCTTTTTCTGATAGGATCTGCACCCTGGGTTAAGTGGGACATGTGGCTGCTCTTTCCAGGCTCCCCTGCAGCTGGCTCTGCCCTTTGTAACTGGTTTGGGCAAATAGGATGTGAGCTAAAGGATGTGTGTCATTTCTGAATTTTGGCCTTGTAACATTGTCCTGGGGACTTGACTGAAGACACAGCAGTGACCTAGCTTCAACCAAGCCAATGAAGACAGTATGTTTAGGGGAAGGCACAGCACAAACTGGGGATAACCGGGTTCCTAAAGAATTTTGTGCAGCAGAGCTCATCTGAATTCACATCTCAGGACTATGGTAAGAGAGAGAAATAAATGACTATCTGGCTTAAGCTACTTTGTTTTGGAATCTTTTTGTGTTAGAAGCTTGGCCTTTACCCTAAATAATATAGGAAGTTAAATAAATGTACTCATGTTAATAAGTAGAGCCAGGATTCAAACCCAAGGAGTCTGAATGCAGAATTTCTTTGTATTCCCAATCTCTAACATAGTGTCTGGTACATAGTTCAATACATGTGTGATGAATTGAATGGAATCTTCCTCTTGGGTAATAGTTTTATACCCTAACTCCACCAAATATTTCACTTGAGCTGCTGACAAGTGCAAAATTGACTGATTTGAGATTTATCTCTTCTGCAGTTCAGCCTATGCAGCTGATTTTCTGATTAACAGTGAAATGCTTCATTGCTGACAGGACATCTTCTCAAAAGATTAAGGGGAAAATCTAATTAATATCCCTTCAGGCCACTTTACCTACAATTCACTTTTAGTTCACAATTGGAAAATATCAGAAGCTGATGATAAATATGTTAAAGAATGTAACTGCTTCTACAAAAACCTGCCCAGAATTAAACCTTCCTATTGTTCTTCAATAGAATTGTCTTAAGCCAGAAGCAGCATCTTAAAGACTAGGGGAGAATTGTGTGCATGACATTTACACATGCCTGTGGAGGCTACAGTCTCTTCTCAAACTGAATTCCCAGTCCGATTTTATTATTTTTGTTTTTAGTTCAGATGTCTTGATTTTCCTTTCCCTGACCTATGACCACACACCACGATGTCCCCAACTTCTCACATTATAGTTTCACATTAAGAGAGGGGCCTGGAGTGATTGTCTGCATGCAATGGACCCAGTGAGGCCCTAGGAGAACATGAAGAAAGTACTAGCATGAACGGTAGGTACATGCCACGGACTCCGAAAATATCCCTGTTGGCTATGAAATGGTAAAGTAGGTGCAGCCACACAGGAAAACAAAAACAAGGCTTGGAAGAAGTTGATTATATTGACAAGTCCTAGAGAGGAAGTCACTGCATGCCATGCAGGGCCACAGGACAATCACTAGGTTTCAGTCAGGTGGCAGAAAGGAGCAAGGGGAAAGTCAAGGCCAGAGCCTTTATTGTGGTTTCTGTGGGAAACCCTATAGAAACAGCTGGGTAAGGATAAACAGTTCAGGACTGACCAGTTTAGAGAATTCCCATGGGCTTTGGGCAATAGGGATTGTCTCTAGTTGCCTGGTAGCTGGCCCTAGGATGATTTAAGGCAAAGGAATACAGGCTTACTGGGTGAGACATAGATAAGCAGGTGTTTGGAGCTATAGACTCAGGATTGGTTGGTTTGCATATGAAAGAAGTGATCCCAGCTGAGCCCTTTGCTATCCTTAAGAATGGATTAGCCCTGGGAGGAGCCTCTCTCGTGGCCAGGAGCTTTTCCAAGGCGTTAAAAACATCATAAAATATAGAAAATAAAAGACCTGATTAATACACCATGCATAAAGGAGTTTATGTTTATATCTACAGGAGAAGTAAGTCTGTACATTAAAAGGTAAATAATAAGACAAGGTAATTGTGAGAAATGAGATGATTCATTTCCCGAAATACCAAATAAAAGCTGTGCTGTCTAGTTAATAGGTTTACAACCTATTGGAAGTATGTGCGAACCCGTCCTTCCACAGTGGAGCCCCAAACCCTTAGATACTTCACTTCCTGGTTCTTCTTCCCCTCTCCATTTTGCAGGCTTATTTCTTGTGGGCTTTGCAATAAGCCTCTGCCAAAGAACTGAAGTCTCCGCATCACCTCAAGGAATGTACATTTGTTCCAATCAGACTGCTTTTTGCCTTAAAAGGGCATAGGCGATGTCCGGGTAAGGCTGTAACCTTTGTAGTACTCAGCCAATGAGGAATCAGGAGACGGATTTGCATGCTAGGAAATAAATTGCCTACCGTAACTGCCCGGAGTGTGCCTGTCCATCAGACACCCACCCTTGCAAGAACATTGATTAAAGCCTCGCTTCACTGTGCTCTGAGTCTCTGCGTCCCTCTTTGATTGGGTCAGTGGGCTTATTTCTCACAATAATGATATAAAATTGATAATGATGATGATCATGATCATGACAGCTAATATATATTGAGTGCTTACCCACTGTGTTAGGTATTTTCTTCATGAGCATCACCTCATTTAATCCTTACAACCACTCCATGAGTTAGGTCCTACTACAATCTTTATGAATGCTTTGAATTTAAGTTATGTGCCCAAAGGCAAATATTTATTAAGTGGAAGAGGTGAGGTTCAAAGCCAGATCTGGATGACTTTGCTCTTAATTTCTGCCCTGCGCTGACTCCTGCAAATATTTATGGTGCCGAGATTGGAAACACTCAGTAAGCTTTTTAGGCATTCAGAAGAAGAAGAGGGTCTTGGGGTCAGAAAGCTGCAGACTTAACCGAAAAAGGAAAGACTCTGGCAGCTAGCAAGTGAAGTAGATAGGACAAGCCATCTAAAACCAATGCTGAACCATCATATGGTTGGTTGCCTCTAGTTCACACTAAAAACCTTAGAGATGTTAACATGATAAGGGTTGAAATCAGGCAAATGAGAAGGAATAAAAGTGCTATATGGTATTTTAAGAACTGCCCTGCCTACTTTTGGTTAGAACGCCACTGAATTATTATCTCCAGGCTGTGAACTTTCCATCTTGTGATTCTCAAAGTGTGTTCCATTGGTCACTTATTTCGAGGTCATTTAGCTTCAAAACACCTGGAGTTTTTGTAAAACATACAGACTCCTAGGTTGTGCCTTCAACCAGATGGAACCCTGGTAGCTCCTCGGGTAATCGTTATGTACATTAAAGTCTGAGAGTCTTTGCTAGTCCATCCATTATTTGTTAGAAGTCAAGATGAAAGTGGTTCAAACCAGGCTAAGCAGCTGACACAGAACAATTATCCAGTAATTTAATGTGCATAGGAGTGGGGAGAGAGGAAGAGGATAAGTGTAGGGAAAAAAAATCATGTAAGGTGTGCACCTACACCCTTTTTAAAAAAAAATATATAAGTGAAATAAAGATAAGATGAAAGGAGGACTTTGCCTTGGGTGAGACTACACTGGTTGATGATGAGTGTCAGCACTTCGGGGACATCCTTGTTGAGCCCTGTCCTCACACCCTTATCTCTCCTTTCCTTCTTGAGTGGAAGGAAGCACCACAGCTAAAATAGCATCAAAACCACCCCCACTTGACTTCCTCCAAAAGAATAAGTGGGGCGCCTGGGTGGCTCAGTCAGTTGAGTGTCCAACTTCAGCTCAGGTCATGATCTCACGGTACGTGAGTTCGAGACCTGCATTGGGCTCTGTGCTGACAACTCAGAGCCTGGAGCCTACTTCGGATTCTGTGTCTCCCTCTCTCTCTGCCCTTCCCCCACTCATGCTCTGTCTTTCTCTGCCTCTCAAAAATAAAGAAACTTAATTAAAAAAAAAAAAAGAGTTTTAAAAGAAGGAGAAAGAAAGGAACAGCATCAGGCAATTAGTTTGATTCTCAGTGTTCTAGAAACAACTCTGATAACAACCAAACAAAACCTTACACAAATATCAGCACTCATGCTCCCCAGGAGAATGTATGTGACCCCAAAAGAAAAGTTACCTGCGATTCTCCTCTGGTCAGAATCTTCAGATGATTTGTCACTCTTTTTGATTTCTTACTAATTGAATGAATATTTAGTTTAGACAATTTGTCTTTAAGTGATTCATCCTCATCATTCTTCTTGTATTTTAGAACTGAAATGGAAGAATGCAATCACAGATCTGAACACATGCAACATGGAAAGAGCGTGTTTCATCCAAAGTACGTAAGATCAATATTTAAGATAGAAATCTCGATGGTTTTTGACCCTCTGATGCAGATGCAATATGTTCCAGTGCTACTGCCCAGTCATAACCCCAGCTGCCCAACCTGCTGACCAGAAACTCAGCTGTCCAAGGGCTTGAGCACCTCAAAGCTCAAGGTGCATTTACCTCCCACATTAAAGAAATCCCTGAAAAGCTTTCTCTCTCCTCAAATAATACATTTATTATCTTCAGTCTCTAGGATGAAGCATCATGACCTAGGTAAGAAAACTGGATCCAACACAAGGAGACCTCAGACCCTAGAGTGGCTCTCCACTAGCTGAGAGATTTGGGGTAAGTTGAGTCACCTCTCTGAGCTTTACTTTTTTATCTTTGAAATAAATTTCATCTCTCATATTGTTCAAAATGTTAAATATTTCTTTTTGTTTTCTAAATGTTTATTGTTGAGAGAGAGAGAAAAAAATCTTAGGTGGGGGAGGGGCAGAGGGGGGAACAGAGGATCCAAAGCACGCCCTGTGCTGACAGCAGAGAGCATGATGCGGGGCTGGAGATCCTGACCTGAGCCAAAGTCAGATGCTTAACTGACTGAGCCACCCAAGTGCCCTAAGATGTTAAATATTTCTAACATTCAGTTTTGGTAAGGGTGTGGAGAGATGGGCAATCTTAATACACTGTTGGTGAGGATTAAACCAATGCAGTTTTGTGGAGAAAAATTTGGCAGAATCTTCTAAAAGTGTCGTCTATGATCAGAAAGTCATGCAGAGAATCTGTTTTCCATAGTCAAGCATACAAAGTTTTGTTTACTACAGCATTTTTTCCTAATAGCACAATGTTGGAAACAATCAAAAGGTTTATTCATAAAGGAATAGTTTAATAAATTATGACACACTCAGAAATAGAATACTAGAGAACCAGTAAAAAGAAGGCCAATATTAATTAGAAACGTGTCCATGATATTTACGTTTATGATCAAAAGTTTCATGATAATTAAATTTAAAAACAAATCCCAGCAAACTGTAGTGCCATGCATGTTGCAGGAAAGAAGAAGAAGGAGAAAAAGGAGAAAGAAGAAAGAAAATAGAAGAAAAAAAAACACAAAGAGGAGCACCTGATTGGCTTAGTCGGTTAAGCGTCCGACTTCAGCTCAGGCCATGATCTCACGGTTCACGAGTTCAAGCCCTGCATCAGCCTCTGTGCTGACAGCTCAGAGCCAGGAGCCTCTTCAGATTCTGTGCCTCTCTCTCTCTCTCTCTGCCCTTCCTCCACTCATGCTAGGTCTCTGTCTCTCAAAAATAAACAAACATCAAAAAAACTTTTTCTAAGGAAAATTAAATAAATTAAAATGTATTGTTCCCCTGAAAAAAAATAATAATTTATTCTTCTTTCTGAATTGCTTACTTTTATTATTAATCCTTTCTGCATTTAAATGTTTTTATTAATGATTTAATATCAGTAATTGTACATTCTAGATAGTAATCCTTTGCCTATGGACTGTCTTTTAATTTTCTTTATGGTGTCTCTTCCTCTACAACTTCCACTTTTTTATTCTGGGCCCTTCTTTATAATTTTAATTTATCAATATACATACATATTTTTTGAATAAAAATTAGAAAATAAAAACAATAAAAATAAATGAAGTTGTTGGAGCAGTTAGCTCCAAAGTCCTACCATTGCTTTAATGTTGAATTGAGCTTTATTTTAATTTTTTTTTAATGTCTATTTATTTTTGAGACAGAGGGAGACAGAACGCGAGCGAGGGAGGGGCAGAGAGAGAGGGAGACATAGAATATGAAACAGGCTCCAGGCTCGGGGGTCGAACCCATGAACCGTGAGATCATGACCTGAGCCAAAGTCGGACGCTTAACCGACTGAGCCACCCAGGCACTCCTTGAATTGTGCTTTAATGTTAGAAGCACAAAGCCATTTGTGAACTTACGGACACAAATTACACTACGAGAGGACCTACAATCTATCCCACTGTATTACTATATCCAGGATGATAGAAACCATATAACTGTGCCTCCTGTTCTGAAATCTACATTCCACTTCAGACACAAATTTTACATCGTAGCTAACAAACGCTTAGCAATAATTTGTTAATTTGAGAAAGAAATATACTTGTTCACTTCAGTGAAACAATTATTGCTACAAAATCTCCATTCCTAATGTGCCAGAACAAGATGAGCTCTATGTAGCAGCAGCTGGACCTGTTTCACCATCCGTTTCACCAAGCTCTAGATTCCCACGGCTCCAGCTACTTGGCCACGCCATCTCTCCTTGCCACACATACCGCCAGTGACAGGAGGACGATGCGCTATGGTTTCTTCAGGCCACAGTATGTCACCAGGCGTGCGGTGGGCAACAGAGGTTGAGTATAGGGCTGCTTAATTTTTAAAAATTTGTCATTTTTGTGTGTGTGTGTGTGTGTGTGTGTGTGTGTGTGTGTGTGTGTGTCTCATGATCTCCTGAACCCAGACAAAATCACACTCTCCTCCCTGGCCTCTAACTCTAGATATCAGATGACCATGATCACCACAACTGCTGTAACTACTTAGATATTCTGATTCTCAGAAGCAGAACACTCCAGTCACAGAAAACACTCAATTCATCATGTCTCCTCTTACCTAAATCTTTCCGTCTTTTAAGTTCATTGATGTTCACATTAATGTCTTTCACTGCAGTGAAGGCATCCCCGAGCGCCCTGAAGTCTGGGTGAGAGGGAGGGGTGGAGCCCTGGAGTTCACAGAGCAGTAGTGGGTATTTCATTACACGCTGGATTGGTTTGATCATCAAAGAGCCCATGTCCAGTAAGTTTGGCTTGCCTCTATAATAGAGATAAATAATATCAGTTTCACAGACATTTGTCTTATTAACTCCTTTTCATTTTTGTGATTTTTATCATTAATCCTGAAACTGTTTTTCTCCTTTATTTTTCCTCCATTTGGCTGCATACAATTTTATTTTTAAATGTTTATTTATTTTTTGAGAGAGAGAGAGAGAGGGAATGAGCAGGGGAGAGGCAGAGAGGATCCAAAGCAGGCTCTGCACTGATAGCAGAGAGCCCGATGTGGGGCTTAAACTCATGAACTGTGAGATCATGACCTGAGCTGAAGTTGGACGCTTAACCAACTAAGCCACCCAGGTGACCCTGTACACAATTTCTAAAAATAAAGCAAGAGCAATGGATGACAGAAAGAAGCCAGACTGAAACATCCTACTACTAAAAACCTAAAAGAAAACACATGAGTATATCTGTCCACCAAAAAGGACTCAAAGCAGGATTTCCATCCATGTTCCACTTACCTTTTTTGTTTTTTTTTTAATGACAAGATTCATAATAATAGTGGGAAACAATTCAGAATTCCTTTTTTTGCAAAGACAACCAAGAAAACTACATCTTCCTGGAGATATTTTTGTGATTATTAGCAAGGAAAATAAATTCATTATTTAAAACATGACTTGCCAAGTATAGACGAAAGAAATCATTGTCTTCTCTCTTCTACCAAATTGAATAGTTGAATTTATAATGTTTCAGAGGTTCTACCACAGTTCCCAGAAGACATTTCTAATAAATGCAACAGTTCTCTGAATATTATTAATGCCACCACTGTCACTAATCATTGCTATCACATGACTTTGCATGATTTTCCACATGGAATTCTTCTTAACCAACAGATCTTCAAATGGCTACATACAAGTGAGCACACATGGCTGACTCTCTCTTTCGGAGTTCTGACATGAGAATAGAGTCATTCCAATTGGCCAAGCAGTTCACAGGAAGCAAAAAAGCTGAAAGCTTGGCCATGTCATTCCCCAACCCACTGTCATGCATTTTTTAGTGAGAAGTCAGGTTTCTAAAAGCCTTTTTATGTCAAGAGGCAAATAAAGAGACACTGTAAATAGGCATGGACAGAAATTGTGCTTTGAATCCCTTCTGATGGACAGATAAACCTATTGGTTTTCCTTTAGGTTTTTTGTTTGTTTGGTTTCAGTTTTGGGGGTTTTGTTTTTGTTTTTGTCTGTTTGTGTATTTGTTTTTGGTAGGTAAGAATATAGACAGCTTTCCAATCTTAATAGGTGAATTTTTTATCCTTTAATTATTATTTCTAAATATTAATAGGGACAGACAACACACCACATCACTGGAATAGTGAAATGGATCTAAAAAACTTTGGATAAAATTAGAAAAGTTTATCATTAGAAAAGGCCTGAAAACACCTTAGAGATCATCTAACAAAACTCTTCATTTGAAAAATGAGAAACTAGGGAACTTTGATTATCATGTGTATGTGCACACATACACGCACCAGTCACTCTCTGACACATCTCCCCATTTTCATTTTTATTGTAGCACTTATCAACTATCTGCAATCATTTTGTTTCCCTATTTATCAGTTTATGCTCAATTTCTCTGTCATCACTCTATCTCCAGCCTGACATACATATTTTCTCAATGAATATTTGTAGATTGAAATGATAGATTTCAGATTTTCTGTAATGTGCTTTTATTTTACATTGAATTTTTTTCCCAAAAAATTGCACAGTGGTCATGAATACTAGACCGAGGAGCTTTATCACATGCTGAGAAAATGATGATACTATAATAAAGACAAAGACAGAAGCAAACCAAGTGGCAACCTTTTTTTTTTTTTTCTTTTGAGGAAATTCAAAGTAAATATTAAAGGTTTGCAAGGGAGTAAAGAGCTGCTTTAGTGTGATTTATCTTGCACTTTCTACCCATTTACACAAAATCCATTAAGGACGGGAGGAAGGGATGTAAGGAGACAGGATGGTAAGGAGGGAATGAGGGAGAAAGGGAAAGAGAGATGTTGTTGGTTTCCAAGAGGACGGGTGAAGTGGATGGGGAAAAAATGTAAATCTATTATGAATACTGAGAAAAGTAACTAGGGGTGCCTGGGTGGCTTGGTCAGTTGAGCGTATGACTTGATTTCAGCTCAGATCATGATCCCAGGGTCATGGAATCGAGCCCCGTGTCGGGCTCTGCACTGAGCATGGAGCCTACTTGAGATTCTCTCCCTCTGTCCCTCTGCCCCTCTCCTCTGCTTATGTGCTCTCTTTCTCTCTCTCTCTAAAATAAAAAATAAATAAAAAAGCAACTAAAAATATATTTTCTAACTGATGGTATATCAAAAGCAAAACATCTGAATATGAAATACAGCATTTATATGTATCTTAACAGAGATTCTTCAACAATACAACAGTTTAGACACTTAAGTAAAAATAATTCCCTTAAATAAGAACAAGTCAAGTATATGGAAGGTATTAACTTGATGAGAAGAAATCATTTTATCTGTGTGAATATGATCAGAATT